GTCGTAGTCGTCGTCGTAGTAGCAGCAATGGTAGTGGTTGTGGAAGTCCTCCCCTCCTCTCGCTTCTCCTCCCTTCCCCTCCTCTTCTTTCCCCTTCAGTCGTCGTCGTCGTAGTAGTCGTCGTCGTTTCAGAGGGGAAATGGCGTCGCCTACTCCGCAGGCTGGGGTTGGGAATACAAGCAAAGCACCGCAACGCCACTAGTCGCTAGTCGACGCGGCGCTGAAACTTTGCTCGAGCCACAATGCCTTGGAGCCTCAACCCTAAATCCAGAATGGCTTTCGAACCGAGTGAGTTCGACCAACAACTTGAACCCGAAACCCCAAGTCCTGGAGCTTGGTGACCTGGTGCCTCGAGGATCCGCATGTCATGACCCTCGTGCAGTTCTGGAGCCTCGCCCGAGATTCCGGCATCCTTGCGCTTGAGTCTCGGAGTGGAGCAAGAAGCAGTGGACACATTCGGGGTTCAGGGCTTCTCATAGTCCGAAAAGTTGAGGCCTCAGAGCTCCATCGCCCGTTTCGACCGTGCGATCTTCTCTGGTCCCAGGCAGCTTGCTTGTCCGGTACGCTTTAAGCAGCCAGAGTTGTGTATGTGAGGCACCAAAGTGAAATGGCTCCGGAAGACGAGCAGGCTGTTTGAGCTTCAGACCAGGGTACTAGCGTGCTCGTGCAATGATTCCTGCACTGAACAATCCCCTGGTTTGGGTCGGCATCGTAGGGAGGAGAGACGAAAACTAACCCATGAGGAAATGGCAGAGTTGCTTGAGCCATCCGAGAAGATGGCGACGATCTCCCTACCTAGGACCATTGCGCTGCAGCTTGCTTCTGAGGGATTCGGGAGAAGCCAAGGAACCCCAGCATAAACCCGATTGAAACGAGTCTTCCATTCGGCGTGTCAGGAGAGGCTCATCCTCCTCTTCGAAGACCGTGGAGGCTTCTCACAGTTGCATGACGCTGAAAGCATTGCGAAGACTTTTTGGACTTGCAGGACGGTTGTTGACTCAAAGGGCTGGCAGACATAGTCTCATGCCGCACGATTTTTCGTGATCTGGGTTGTTCGTCTGACACATCTTCTCCGAAGGGCCGGCTATGCAAGAATCATACATGCAGCTTTGGAACAGTGCGATGTCGTCTTTCCACCGGGGCTCAAGAACTGCAAGTTGGCGGTCTTTTCCTTGGCTTAGATTCTTCCCAACTCCCAGTTCCACTTGATCGGCAGGCTGATGAGGAGAGTACCAGACAGGAGTCGGATTCTGCTTGTGGCCACGTGGAACATGCAGCTTGTTTTGCTGCTTTGCTCTGTGTGAAGAAGGAAAGCAAGGAGCAAGACTTTTGGGATGAGGCCACGGAGGCCGCGCTTTGGGCATTCCTCCGGGCTTGGCAACGGTCAACCCCTCAAGGCCTTGTACGACATCTTCGAAACGGGAGGAGCCCACTCGGTGCGCAAGACTTCTGATGCAGAGTCAAGTAGACCACGCAGGAGCGTCCGGCAGCACTTTGGGAAGAAAGTTCCGTCGTTCCGACGAGTCAGGCTGTCGATCTGTCGATGGCAGGGTTTTCTCGGGCCGGGCGTGTTTCTCGTGGCCAGATGGAAACCTCGTGCACATACATGCTCCTGCCCGGCCGTTGCTGCCGCACACCTATCCTTGTTTCTCACGTGTCTCGCCTTCGTACCTGCGCTCGACCGGGTCCTCGAGGTTTCGGCAGTTTCTGGAAAGCTTCTCGGCCTTAAAGAGAGGCTACCACCCTCGTGTCCCAAAGCAGGTCGTCTCGTTTTTTGAGGCTTCGTCCGCATGGCGCCGATGCGCTTTCCCAAAGAGCAGGGCCTGGAGCAGCAGGCGCCAAAGTTTCTCCGAGGGCCCTTGGCCCTTGCTGCGCTTTGCAGGTGCAGCGGCTCTTCAAGGAGCAGGCAGAGATCTCAGATGCATTCAGACGCTGCTGCGGCACTCCGGCATTCATCCATGAAGTGGAATGAAGGGCGGTTTATTGGCAGGTGGCTCCCTGCTTGAAGATGGTCTCTGGAAGCAAGTCTGAGGGCGGAGGCTGGTCTGACGTAAGGCGCAAGGCTGACGCCTCACTTGAAGCCTCGCCGTGCGTTCTTGAGGACTCATCAGCATGCTTGCCAACTTTCGTCGTCCAGCGAGCTCCGCCTTTGGGCTCTTCACACAGCCGGAGGTCAAGGAGGTGGTCTACGAGGCACCGTGGCACCCTCGAATTCGAAGCTAGGGCTGGGAAGAAGTGTCATGTATGCGACGTTTCGCCCTTGCAGTTGGAGCCGATGCTCTGGAAGATCTTCGTAGAGCTGTCGGGAGATGCTGGGGCCGCCGAGGATCGCGAGAGCAGCGAAGTGCGGTGAGCTGCCCACAATGCCAGTCGGCTCGCTCCCCAGGCGGCAAGAAGCATCGGCGGCGGCGGGATCTTCTCCGGAGCTGGCGGTCTTGGGGCGAACCCTTCCAACGCGAAAGCGCCAGAGGCGCAGCACCGGCCGAAGTCTCTCAATTTGTGCTCTGCATTCCCACCATTGGCGGTGTTGACTCTGGAGAGGTGGTGAAGCACCCAACGAGACCTGGCCGCACTGGGATCTTGTTCGAAATTGGCTCCTTGTGCACTTGGCGCTGCAGTGCACAAGGAGCCAGGCGAGCCAGGCGACAGGCGCCTTGCATCAGCCCGCAAGCGTCGCAGAGCGTTTTGCCTTTGCTCGAGGGGCGAATCGCGAATCGGTGCCTCACTCGGCCTTCGACGAGAGCAGAGCGCAGACGGCAGACAGTGTTTCCTCTCGCTGCCAGGAGCCAAGCTCAGCCCGCCTTCAGGCCGAGAGCTGGGGCTGAGCATGCAATTTTCACACGCGCTTGCGTCCGTTCGGGAAGAGCATGCGTTCTCTCTCCTTTCGTTTCCTTATCTTTTCCTTATTTTCCTTAATACAACCACAGCACAAAGGAACGGCATAGAAAAGAGCCAGTGATAACTACAGTGCAATCCCTGTACAAGAAACGATTGGATAAGAAATGCAGGGGCGGCCTTAGCCGGATAGCACGAAAAAACCGATTCCAGCTAAGAATTGAAGGTTACCCAAGATTTTGGGCTCATTTCTTATTTCGCGGGGTTTCCAGGTCCAAACCGTCCTAACCCTAGGGCATGGGGCAGAGGCCAGAATTAGAAATGTAGGGGGCTACGTTTCTTATTTCGGGGTGGTTTCCAATGAAGTGCTGGCAATTGCATCTATGACACTAAAGAGTATACTGTACTGTAATACTATCTTGGCGGTGCCTGTCTGGCCTAATGGTTAAGGCCTCCGGTTCAGTTGACGGACTTCCATGGGCTCGAGCCGCGGCTAAGAAATGGATAAGAAATGAAGGGTACCCAACGATTCGGGAGCTGAGAAATCCGGAAACGTTATACTACAAGGAAGTTAAGAAATGCAGTGTGCCCAACGCTGGAAGCTGGCATCTCTTATGCAGCAGGTGCACTGTAGTGAAAGAAGTGAGCGAGAACGAGGTAAGGAATGCACGTCCTTAGTTCGTTTCACTTCGTCTCACTTCGTTTCACTTCATTGAAACTAGGGCTCTGTTCGCTGTCTCTTTGTGTTGTACTTAAAATAAGCTTACCTTATCTTAAACAAAACAAAAGGGCACAAAAGAACAAAAACACCATAAATTAATGAAGTGAGAAGAATAAAGACAAATGAAAGGAAATGAATGCGTGCTTCGCTCCTTCATTTAATTTGGGTATGTGCACATGCACCACACGTATGCATGTAGATATGAGTGTGCCCGATACCTGTAGGGTCTATGTAACTGCGGTTTTCTATCTTCAGCACATAATGGAAAGCAAAATGTAATATCGAAGCACAGCCCACATTACAAAGCCATAACCCGAAAAGTTTCAGACCGACTGTGTTATACTTTTTTACTGAATAATTATAGAAAATTATTCACATTCAAGGAGACTAATATTTAATAAAACAAGTGTGGATCCAATCGCGGTCAATGAATGAACACTCGATGTGATGTAGTAGTTCAATGTCGAATGTCCATCCATACTTAAGGAGTGATGTATCATCATGGAGACATGCATAACACAGGTATCAGTCTGTCGGCAACATGGGTAATCTGTTCTGTCNNTCTGTCGAAATCTTGCACGACTCGACTTGTTGTTGTCTTGTCAGCACTGGAGTACTTGCATGAGACACATCCATCTAAGGACAATGCAACAAGTATGCACGCTGTACGATATCAGGAACTTGTTTAGAATTTCCGTAAAGGCCAGAATGGTGCTGTATCGTCCCGCATACATACGATCCTTGTATCATTCGGCATTGTAATCCGATACCTGTCATTGTCGAGTCCTTACAAGACGCTGGTATGTCCATTCAACTCGATAACTACGACTATCATATCATGAACGCATTTTTTATTATGGTAAGATCTACAGACCCATGAACACGTTTCATGTTACATTATTTCGCAGTACCGTTTGATAGTTGGTTCCTGATCATCCTGCAACATCCCGTGGCGAATGTTTAAACGCAAACATGCAGATGTCGTGTAAGTATATTGGTCATATGGATCAGGAACATACCTTGTGGGTGCGACACAATAGAATGCATTTCGTGTTGTGTAAATGCACCCTAATGTGAGCTCGGCGACTGTATCTGTCACATGGCGTCGGACCACTAAGTCCAATGCAACAATATCCCAACCATAACGACGACCACAAGCATAGCAACATCAACATTATCAGGAACAACAACCCATAGATAACATCAAGAAAGCAAGCAACATGAGGCAACCAAAGTTCCGACAGCATGAGGCAGCCAAAGTTCCGAGA